ACTCTGGTCAAATATGAAATAGCTAGCAAAATTGATGGTAGTTATTCGTCGAAAAGTCAGCCACTTAAGATTTCCGTCTCACTGCCCAAATCCAGAGCACCCCAACCGAGTGCATTGGCCACCAGATTGAGCACCTGCTGCAACGGCACGCCGGCCTTTTGCAGATCATCCCGCACCGCACGATACTCTGGCAGAGCGCGCACATTGCTGAGCAGGCGCCGGAACTCAGTGCCGCGTATGCGACGCACTGCTTCGGACAGATCCTTGTCGGACGCCAATTGGCGTCGATAGAGCTCCCGGAGCTGTGCGCGCGGCAGTGCATCGCGCAGATCCTGCAACAGTCCACGCACGCCCTTTCGGCGATTCGGCAAAGGACTGCTGGGAGGCTCCGAGGTCTGAGCATTGAATAGCAGGCGCACATACTCCAAGTAGTAGGCGTGGTTGAGTTTCAGGGCCTGGCACACGTAATCCTGCAGCACGCCCTTTTCCTTGGTGTTGTGCAGACGCGTTACACGCTCCTTGAACTGATCGCTGCGCAGCAGCTCGAGCAGCTCACGGACCTCGGCGTCCTCCCTGGCATTGGCCAAAATGTTGCGCAAACGTTCCGCGGGCAACAGGGGACGGGCACTGCGTATGAGACTGGTCAAACCACGCTTTGCGCTGCTGGGACATGCGTCGCCATCGCGTGGCAGCGATGATTGCTCCTCTTCCGTGTGAGTTGCCCCTTCAGTGGTTGAGTGCGTAGCAGGAGTAGGCAGCTGCTCCGGCTGGTGCACTTCCCGCGCTTGCCTGCCCAAACCCGTATCATAGACGCTCCAGTTGATTTTATGCGCCATCATCAAGTCCGACCCCTGAGCACTCGGCTCATCCAGCTCGGACAATGTATAACCTTCGGGAAACTCAAAGTCGGCATCTGTTGCGATTGTCTCCTCAGGCAGCTCGGTGACTGCAGCCACCAGCAGCATGGAGCAGCTGAGATAGACGAGGAGCTGGTACATCTTGGCAACTTATCAATGGGACACTGTGCCTTTGCCATTAAACTGACGCAGGTTTTATAGCAGAAAAAGCTCACAGAATCCCAGCCGAGTGCTAACTTATCTGCTGTTTAACCAATACACTTCTGTATTTGTCCAACATATTTGCAGGCAAACACAAGCAACGAAAACAAAACAAAAAGTGGAACAACCCTGAGATACTTTCGAGCTCATCAATCTTTTACATGGAAAAGCGGCATCAAACTCATCAGGAGTAATCATGTGACAAATACGTTAGAAACAATACCCTGTAACCATTATTGAAACGGGTACACTCGACTAGCACAAATGCTCGTTAGAGCTAGAATATTATATTATAGCCTGCTCCCATTAATGTATTTTACGCCCATTTCAAGCAGGGTATCTTACAGTCGTGTCATCTTAATGACACTAACTTGCCAATTTCTGCAGCTACTGCTGCAGCTTAAGAGAATTATTTATGACTGCAAAGCGTGTAAAGCTGCTTATGTGCTGCTCTATAAAAATGAACAACGACAAAATACGAAGCACTTGACATTAGCCTAGGACTCGCGACAGTTTTGTCTATATTTGCCAAAGCAAATTTAGCAAAGTCGTTTTGGGGATTTGCTAACGATTTTCCGGAATGTGTCCTTGGCAATATTATCCTTAAATATTTATGCGTGAGCACTTGTCATGAATTCAATAGAACTGAGCACTTGGTGGTCATACTTATTAGAGATAAAATAAATGTATATATACTCAAAAATAATTCCGCGTATGTATAAAATTTGTTTGCTACAAATTTAAAAAAATTTAAGAATATTTTTGTTCATATCAGATAACAGCTAAAATGAAACGAATTTATTTTTGTTAAAATTGCCAATAGTAAACTTTGACTATCATAATTTAATTCACAAGAATTTATGTATCTAAATAAAAGGGCCACAGATAAGTATAAGACAAAACAATCCCAAAAGAAAAATTGAATCTGTAACGATTCCCGAATCAAATTTAAGACCTGCTTCACTGCTGATATACTTAAGAACTGAATATATACATGTTTTATTGCCAGGCCCACGTTCGACCTAATCAACAACAATATATTTCCCAATACTTTCATTGTAAATAGAACATCTCCCAGTCAAAATCTATTCATTTATCTCCCACGAATCCTTCCTCTGGTTTGTTCTGTTTTTGTTCATCTCGCATAATTTAGCCATTCCTTTCACAACTGGCAATATCATTTTTACACCCAATATTCAAAAAGGGAAAAATAAAAAGTTTATTTGAAGGCGTCCGACCAGAAAGTCATTTGCACAGCATTCATGTGGGACTCATTAGGCGGGTATCTTTAGCTTTTTGCAGAGCTCGGCAGGATTTACTTGTGTTTGCCTTGTATCCTTTTTTCGGCCTGTTGACAATGAGCGAAACATTACAGTAGAGCGACATTCCGCAAGGACTAAAGCTTCTGCCATGAATATTCATGTTGGTAGGTTAAAAGACAATTTTCACTTGCCGCACTTGAGGCTTTGGTTGGGTACATAAATTAGCTTCAAATTGTATTTGATTGTCCTTGGAGAGATTTCGTTTATTTTTTGTTGCCTACAATGGGTTTTAAATGAATATCCTGATGTTTTATAAGCCATTTAAAGTTGAAAACAGGTTTGTGAACAGGACAGAAATGATTTTTTGATAACTATCTGAAGATAATTTGATAAAGCAGCATATAAAAAGCTGCCTTAAAACACTATTTTCTTTAGCTTAAATTTCCAACAATGAAGGAAATTTAACAAAGCTTTTGGTATGCCTATTATGTCGTGTGCATAGGAGGAAAACGCAAGGGTGCAGCTTTTCCAACTACTCACATGGCACCAAGCCCGAAAAGTAACACCAACACCGGGGCCAGGGCCAGTCTCATGCATAAATATGTGACTTAAATCGGAGCATTAAAACTTAAGGCCAAGTTACGCATCCAGCACAAGCAGGAAAAGGAGCAGGCCCCAAGTAAAGTCACGCAAATGAACAAATTGAAAAGCAGACGATTCGGGTTGGGTTTCCTGGCTGTTTGGGGGTTGACCAGGGAGCCCAGCCCGGCGGCACTAAGGACAACGCCCAGTTTCAACTATTTTAATGCTTTTATGCTCCCTCGGGGCTGGACAGCTGTGTAAATATTTCATTTGACACGCCCGAAAGCGCATTTTACTTAATTGATTCCTAAGCAAAAAAAAATAATAATAATATTAAAACGGCAATAAAGAATATATTGTAATTTGATCAAAATTAAATTTTCGATAAGACGGCACGTGTGCTTCCTCCTCCCCGCGCTTCCACGATTGTCGACGTGTTTACCGAAATGTCAATGCTCGATTGCATTGCGTTCAATTCAAATTAGGATACACTTTGGAGCCTATTAGCCGGCTCGAACGTGAGCCGCATTTTAGCCAAGGCTTAAAGCGTTCCGTTAACAAATCGAATTGTAGGATTAACACTCGAATTTTCGGCCCTGCTGATTGGGAGGCTCTAATGCAATATGCAAATCGCAAAATATTCTTGTTTATAATAACAATTACGGGGGCAATAACTGAAGTACATTAAACCCAATCTGAAATGTTTAACAATGCGGACTGTATTTTAGGTTACCCTAAAAGCAGACGATCAGCACGAATTCTATATGCTCTGTAAACAATTCTTATTCTAATTTTCTATTAAGCAAAAATCGATTGATTTAAAAATTATATTCCGACCATGAGAATAATTGACATTGCCAAAAGCCCTATATGCTCGTTTTCACTTTGTGCACAGAGTATAATTTACAGTTTTGCTGGAATTCTGAAAACCACCGACTTAATGCAATCCACTTTCAGCTAATTCATTTCCAATTTCTGACTGCACAAACGGCAAGAATTTGAACTTACTTTAATCAACCGAATTCACCCACACACATTATTATGTATGTATCGGTATATTAACCATCATTTGAGTGCTATGCATATTGCAAATTTGTTTTTGAAAATAGTATCCTGTTACAAAACCAAATAAACTTGTCTAATTATTATGCAAAATGTCTGCAAAGTTGCTGAGCTACAGTCAGGTGTAGGAACACATGAAATGCATATCATATGTATGTATATATATGTATATAAGCATATAAAACTATTCCAGCCAGCCAACAGTTAATTCAGCGCACGCAAGTGATCTGATGTTGCAAAAGCACATAGGGAGAAAAGTGAGTGAGAGGGGGGGGGGGGGGGCAGAGTCTGTGAAGAGCAACAGGCAAACAGTTTGCGCATTAAAATTCAATATACATACATACATACATAACTATACAAAAATGCAGTACGCAATAAATTTGTCATGTATGTATACACATAAGTATATTTATATATGTATACATTGTACATACAAATATGCTAGTATTCCAGCCTGGAACAGTTAGCTTACCTTGAAAATTCAGCACAATCAAGTGATCTGTGCAGAATCCCATGCAAAGGGTGCAGAAAGACAGTAAAAAGTTGGCATAGAGCAACGGGCACACATTTTACGCATTAGAATTTACTATATATAACCAGCTTTTTAAATATGCCGTACGAAACAGCTTTAGAATAGGCTTGCAAATGGCCCAACAAGATTTAATTACCAGAATTGACAAAAATAACTGTAAATGAAAAAATACGAAAACATGTGCATATGTACATACCTGTGTGCTGCTGCTTTTTATAAACTGCACCGCTTAGTTTTATATCAACTTATAGTCAATTCACAAGTAATTATGCATAAGTAACACAAATGCCACATAAATAACCAATTTGAAAGATTATTTTTCACCATTTTCAATTGCGCCACTTTTCACTTAAAATTTCACGTTTTCTTACTCCACACGCGCAGCTGACTGATATTTGGTTGCGTATGGCCAGCCCAATTGACTAACATGGTCACTCTAATGACATGTATCGCATGCGAAATATCGATAGCAATTCGATAACTGCTAACAAGCGTGAATTTGACGCGAAAATAGCCGCTATGGACGGCGAATCGTGTAAGTAGGCACCAGATCAAGGATTATAAAAGAAAACGGGATAACTCACGCAGTTAAAACGCCGCACAGCCGCCAACGCAAGCGTGGCCATGTCCGACATGGAACAGACATCGCCGTCCCTGCTCAATCACAATGTTAGCTTTAACAGCAGCATGGAATTGACTTTGCCCGCAGCCGAGAGGACCTTTCCAGATCTGAGCTTCTCTCTGAGCGAAACGGAGCGGCGCCAACTGAAGCAGTACAAGGCGTCGGCTGAGGACAGCAGCATCAATCGCAGCCAACGCAGCGCACTTAAGGATGTGTCCAACAATCTGAGCTGCAGCATAGAGTTGGAGGAGTGCAGCGGCATAGAAGAGGAGAGTGAGCATGTCATAAGCGTGGACGACACAGTCGATGAACTGCTACAGCCGCAGGAGGAGGAAATGGTGGAGCAGGAAATAAGCAGCACAACAGTCAAGCCACAGTCGCCGCTGCTGGCACCGGCGACGTTGTATTTTGAGAGGCAGCTGCTCGAACTGGGTCGCCGTTGCTGGCCATCCACGGCGGAGGCACAGCACTATACGAAGGGCTGCTACTGGTCGCCAGATGGCACTTGTCTGCTGTCGCCTGTTCATCTGGATGGCATGCATGTGATGGAGCTGCCATTGGATCTATACGAGGCCAGCGACGTCTCGATAATGCGCAGCCTGTCCCAATTGCAATCGGCTGTCCATGTGCCCGAGGGCGGCACCGTCTACGATTGCGTCTGGTATCCGCTGATGAACAGCCAGCAGCCGGAGACCTGTTTGTATGTACATATTTGCTGTATATGGCTGCTGCAGTGCATCCAGTACTGACCCAATATCTTTATTTGGCTTCTAGCTGGCTGGCCACGCGCCAACATGAGCCCATACACATGTGGGATGCGTTTGATGGACGACTGCGTTGCAGCTACAGCGGCTACGACCAGGTGGACGAGGTGGTGGCCGCCATATCGCTTGCCTTCGCGCATGATGGCCAGAAGATCTATGCGGGCTATAAGCGCTGCATCAAGATCTTTGACACGAATCGACCGGGTCGCGTCTATGACGAGTATGCTGTCAAGTTTGCCATCTCCTGCATGGCTCAGACCGCGGAGCATCCGCACACGGTGACCTGCGGCAACTGGAAAGGCTATATACAGCACTTTGACCTGCGCTGTGCCCCCAAACAGGGTCCGCTCTTCACGCTGGGCGGCCACACGGCGGGCATAACACAGCTGCGCTATGGCACAGATGCCGGCGCCGGCAATTGGCAGCTGTTCAGCGGCGCCCGCAAATGCCCGAAGCTGCTGCAGTGGGACATGCGCAACTATAAGAAGCCACTGCGCGAATTCCAGCGTCAGGTGAAGACCAATCAGCGCATACAATTCGACCTGAATCCGGAGCAGACCTGGCTGGCCAGCGGCGACACCGAAGGTGGCCTGAATCTATGGAATCTGGAGGCTAGCGGGGAACCGGCGGCGCTGCAGCTGCCGTTGCACGGCGACTGCTGCAATGGCATCAGCTTTCATCCCAACCTGCCCATATTGGCCACCAGCTCCGGACAGTATCATTTCATAGCAGGCGGCGACAAGCACGAGGATTGCAACAGCACAAGCCTGGCGGACAGCACGGAAATTCAGCAGGAGCAGAAGTCTACAGTGTTATATGAGAATGCCGTATTATTGCTGTGGTGTGGGCACAGCTCTGAAAATTAAGAAATTAATTATTTAAAATAGAAATTAAAGTTAAACCCTACATTTATTCTACAAGTTTTGCTAATGCTTTTTTTTGCACTCGGCTGTGCTGTTAAGTGAGCGACAGTTATGTTAAACAACATGGGGCTGCTAACGCAGCTACGCTTATTAACAGCGCTGTAATATTAACAGCCTGCTAACTGAAGCGCAGCACGAGGCCAGCTAAACATGTTGTCAGCCGTGTAATGTTAACAGCCTCAGCAGAAGCCAAGCTCACACTGTCAACAGGCAAAAACAGTTCTGCTAATTGAATTACAGAAGGCGCCACATTTAAAAGTAAAGTCAAATGTCTACCAATTATAAATATTTCATTTATTTTAATTACGCATTTGTATTACACATTCATTATTAGAATTCACTTAATGTTCAACTTCGTTTTAAAAGTAATTCGGGAACGTAAAAAAGGTCGTTTATGCATAGGCTGCTTTAAGAAGAGAACATTTATCATGATAAAACGCAACTGTTTTCGCATTTTTCTCATACAAAAGGTTTTGTTTTTGTTTTTTTTTTTTATTTCGTTGGTTATTGTTGTTGATTATACATTAATATATCGTTTATATATCATAAATTGAGTACATATCGAAGCGTTTTATCAATTGTATTGATTTGATGCATGTAGTTTTAATCTCTTTGCTTGTAATAGATTCAAAGTTTCAAGTGTCGGGATTTTGTGGGGACTGTGTGTGTTATTTGCTTTTATTGTAATGCATGTATTATGTGTATATATATATATATATTTAGATTCACATATATGTTGATTTATAGTAGCCAAGGTTAAGTTATAGACACATTTATAACGGCATGTCAATTTAAATTTAAGCTATTCTCAGCGCTTTTTGCAAAAACAAAATGTGAAAAAACGAGTTCGCAGCTGATGCAAAAAATTTGCCTAAAAATTCAAATACATTTAAATTTCCCAACCCAACCCGATAAATTTCATTTAAACCATTTTCTTTTTCTCTTCAGCTTCAACTTCATCTAAATATAACTTGACGTTAGACAAAATATGCATTTCATTTTACTTTAGTTTCTATAATATAGATTTATTTCTATAATATAGATTATGTATATATATATATATATATATATTTATGTTTTATTAATACCTAAAGTGTTTATATTGTTTATGTTGTGTAAATGAAACGAAAAAGTTTGTGTTTTGTTTTACTTTGTATTGGTTTTTTATTGAGATTTTTTTTTTATTTTTAATTTTTATATATAAGCATTTCTTATGTATTTTTCTGTTTGACATTTATTATATAGATAGAAAATGCGAACTTATATAAAATTGTTATTTATGTTAAGAAGTGTCCAAAATCGCAACTTCACACAATGTTAATAAATTAAAATTAATGTTAAATTATATCATATATATATATATATTTATTTTATATCCTTTTTTTTTCTTTAAGCAAAGCATACGAAAACGACAGGCAAATACAATTTCTATGGCATTTCTATTGAACTTTTTCCTTTCGAAAATGCGCTGCAAATCAGTGAAAAACACACTTCGATTTATATTTTATATAAGTTATGAAAAGCTTCGCAATTAAACAATTAGTTCTTTTATTTTCATCAAATTAAAAGTGCAAAAAATAACTAAAATCAACTTGAACAGACTTTCACATTAACAATTTAAAAATAAGAAAATTATGAAATTTCGTAGAAACAATTATAAAAAAATAAACAAAATGAATTTCAAATATGGAGTATTACAATAATTTAAGTATATATGATTTGTTAGATCTTATTGTAGTTGGTTTTGTTTGTTTTTTTTTTTTTGCGTTTTGTTAGTTGTAAATTTGCTTTACTAAATGTATTTCTTATTAATTTGCAGTATGCATTCGCTTTGCTTTTCTTGTAGTGTAGTGTAGAGTTTTGAGTTTTAAATGTTTTGCTTGGCGCTGTAGTTGTTGTTGTTGTTGTTGCTGCTGTGGTTCTTCCTCTTTGTTGCCTGCGCGTTTTGCTCAGCAAAAATGTTCTTTAAGATTTTTAATTTTTTTTTTTTTTTTTTTCTCTTTTAGTTAATACTTGAAATTTTTGAAGCAAATCTGTTGTTGCTTAAAGGTTGCTTGCTCAAATATGTGTTTGTAGTTGTTGTTGTTGTTGTTGTTGTCGTATGCTGGGTGTGTGTGGGTGTGGGTGTGTGTGTGTGTGTTGCAGCCGCCGCTGTGCGCTTTATTGAGAACGCTCCACGTGCCCCAGCAGCAACGGCAATTCCTTGCAGCATCGCCTCTAACCCGACGAGGCAATGGGACTCTGCTGTCCGTCCATGTCCTGGGTCTGAGCCTTGTTCTGACGCACAACCTCAGCGCGACGTTCCTGCAAAGGAGAATCATTTAATTAATTGGAAAATTGCATTTTTCAGTGCCTGTGTGTGTGTGTGCAACTGCTACAAATGAACGGCGGGCAAACGATGCAAACAAGCGAGAAGCGAATATATATACAGATATATCTATATATATATAAGTATATATTTATATAGGACCTACAAGTTGTTGAGCTTTCTCAATTTTCTTGAGCAACTCCTTTTCGCGATTCTGCTCGGCGGTGTACAATTTGTTTTCAATAATGCGCGCTTTCTCCTCGAGCTTTTGATTTTCCAATTGATTGTTCTGGGTTTTGATTTCGGCAATTTTGATTGTGTTCTAAATGAGATTTAAGAAAAACGAAACAAATAAGAATACCATAAATTATATCGATGGATGAAACGCAAAATCTTTACTTAGTACACACACAGAGATACATGAATGGAATCAAGGAGCGTACGTGTTTTCAATAATTCATTATTTCTTATATTAACTTAATATTAAATAAAACAAAAAAAAAAGTGGTTGTTGTATTCATTGAGCTATATAATTAAGTAAAGAACTATTTACAAAATCAGAAAAGAAATATTTTTAAATTTGAGTCCCTTAAGAACATTCATTAAAAATTAAATTAAAAACAAAGGCGAAAAAACGGCAAAAAATATGTTTTCTTAAATAAGATAATTTTAAATTAAAACAAAATAATAAGGTTAAAAGCGGTGTTAATCAAAAATTGTAATATCCTCAAAAAAAAATATTCTTAATTAAATGAAAGGCAAACTAGTAAAATAAAATAAATATCGAAATTGATCAAAATACTTAATTAAATATAATTTGAAATGAAAAGAAAGTAAGTAAATTGTTAAAGTATTATTTTATTTCTTTTGTTATGTTAAAATAAATAAACATGAAATAATTATTAAAATATATTATTTGACTCTTATATAAATATATAATAATATAACTTTATCCTCATTGTTAAAATAAATAATTAATAATATACTATGTTTATATTTAAGGTATTTTTTTAAGGAATTAAATTGTGCTATACAAAAAATACGTGCTAATTTTGTGGTCCATTAAATTACAAAAACTAATTAGTTAAACAAAAACAAAAACCCGAATATTATTTTTAATTTCTTATCTTTTTTTATAGGAAATCATATCCTCATATTATTATATTATTATATTAAATATAAATTGAAAAATATATATTTAAAATTATATTTTGTTATAATAAAATAATACGTGTTGATGTTGTTGTCGGCTAAATGATATAAGGAAATAGTGTAAATAAGTTTATAAATATATTTAGAATATCATTTAAAAAGTTGGTGTTAATGTATAAGGTGCATTTGAATAGAAGACTATTTGCTATGTGCGCAATTGTTAATTTAGAAACGAAACGAAACAAACAAGCTAAGCTACGATAGAGACCACAATATCAAATATTATTAATAATAGTTTAAATATTAATGATGTACTATAAATAATTTAATATAAATTGAATATATTCATTTAACTCACATGCTCCTTGAGACGATTCAACATTTTCTTAATGTTCTCATCGCGCAAGGCCTGAGCGGTCTTCAATTTCTCCTCGATGGCCTTCTGCTCATTGGCCTTTTGCTGCTCCAAAGTCTCGCGCGTTTTCTCAATCTCCTGGGCATGAATCTGTGTGAGGGCAATACAAATCGATTAGTAAACTCGGAATTTATAGACACGCAGCACAGGCACCTTTAGCTTTTCCTTCATGTCGCTGATAATAGCCTCGCGCTTCTCCACATGATTCTCCATTTTGGACTCGAGCTGCTCCTTGGTCTGAGTGATGAACTCGTTGGTAATCTCATCCTTTTTGCGCGTGGCCTCTTCGACCTTGGCCAGTTTAATCGAGATCTCGGCCATCTTGCGGGCCTCCAAGGACTGCAAGGAAAAGCGAATTATAATCGATTAATTGATCGATCTTAATTATCTCTTTGCTCAATTCACACTCACAATTCGACGCTCCTCGGCGGCCTTTAGCTTCTGCTCAATCTCCTCGACACTGACATTTTTGCCAGGGGTGACGGGTCGCTTGGGCACGGCCACATTCGGTGCCGGCTCGGCCAAAATAACCTCATAGCTGAGGCCGCCGCGCGACTTCTCCTGGCAACGGATCTCAGTGGCTGTAAGGCAAATGAAAGCGAGAAATCCGTTTAGTAATTCAATATTTGTGCACTTTGCAAAGGGGCCCGCTTTTGCTTATTGTTACTTAGTATATATATATATATATAGCAGGGTAATTCAGCTGGGCAGAAGTCACCCCAGGCTGCACACAACGTGACGTCATTCGCACAAAGTATTTACAGCAAAAAGAAAGAAATGACATTTCTGGGGGTGACCAAGATTCAAGGCCCTAGCAATAAATTTCTAGAAGGAAAATGTATTCATATATATATTTTTTGGCAATATTGAACGATTATTTCGATGGATATTTAGTATTGATTTTCAAAACATATTACTATTTTATTTCATTTAATTTTTGTGTTATGGTCAATTCATTGACTAAGATTCAATGGCAAAAAGTAAACTTCTGGGAGAATAGTCATATTCACTTTTGGCAATATTAAATTTTATCCCGATTTAATGTAGATTTATATATGATATATATATATATGTATATATATTTATATTATATATTTTATTTAATTGTAATATTCTTATAATAATTAAGTATATTCTATTATAATATATACTTATATAAAAATTATTATTTTACTATTTTATTTCTTTTTTTTAATATGATGTAATGGTTAATTATTTTTTATAGACACCTTATAGAAGATAATTAAGAGAAATAATACGAGGACTAGGTATACTCAATGCGAATTGAGAGATGTTTACTAGACATCCCCGAAGTTCGCATTCGACAATCAACAAGCAAAACAGTCGATAAACTTTAACTTTGGCCTTCGTTCGCGGCTTTATACCAGTTGAGAATTATAAGCGCCAAGCCAGGAAAAACAGCAAAACGAACAAAATCAAAGTCAAATTCTTGTGTTTTTGTCAGCTGAATAACTGTGTTTGTGAAACAGCTTCGCATTCGTAGGAAAATCATTTTTGTAGATTGTGGGTAGTTAAGAGATTAAACAGAACTTATTTAACATTTAAAACTACAAGTTTGTATTAGATTAGTTACTAAAAACATAATTAAAAAAACAATTGTTAATCAACTAAATGTATTTATTGAACTAAACTGTGAACTATGAAAATATCTAGCAGCTATTTAAAAATCCTTCTATTAAAGGCTAGTAGAGTTCATGGAGGCAGTTTAGATCGACTTAGCTAAATATATATTTATAAAAAATTGTATACTAAACTAGTTACTAAAAGCCCTTTATATAATAAAAACCAGCAGCAGCTGCAGCATAAGCTGAGCAGCTGTTAAAAGTCCTTTAAAATAATTAAAGTCTGTGCGAATATTTGCAATACATTAACATTTGTTGCCATCTTTGGCCTCGCCCAGCTGCTCTTGCGGCTTTTTGTTGCACATTTTAAGCGCAACTTTGATTAATGTTGCATTCGCCAAAGCCCATTTTCGCGCTTTTTATGCGACCATTTATCATATTCATATATATATACACATATACATATATAGATATATATATATATATACAAAAAGTGTACGAGCAGTAGGAAAACTGCGTGCAAACCGCGGACAAAGAGAAGTGCCTGGAATAGTGCCACAACAGTTGTTGATTCTCAACGAGTAAACAACAAAGTAAACAATATGCAAAAATGTAAAGAAAATAAAGAAAAACATTTCTCTGCACAATTATGATATTAAATGCAACGGAAAATGCATTCACACAGCTGCGCATTAAATGGAAATGCCACAAGAGTTCCTCAAAATGTTGACTACTCCAATTACAACTGTGGTAAATGCAAATTCCAAGGTGTCGAGCTCTTTGATAATGAAATTCTTGAGTGTAGAACTGTTTTATAAACAAATGAAATTTTAGATATGGAATTTTGCACATTTACCTAGAAGCGCTTTATAGATAAGCTATTGGAAACTACAAAGCCCACGATTCTATATTTTAATCGCGAGCATTTCCAACTTTCATTGAATGTCACTTCAATTTTCTTATTGGGTAACCTGGCTTCAGAACCTACAAAAATACATTCATTCATGCACTCATTGTCAGGTTCATTAGAACACACAATTGACTGTTGTGAGCCTACTAAACAGGTTGAATGGAGACTTTTTCAAGAGTTCCCCAGAATGTTAACTCCTTCATTTACAAATATGGTAAGAACAAATTCCAAGTTGTAGAACTGTTTTCACAATAGAATTCCTGAGTGTAGAACTCTTTTATAATGAAATGAAATTTTCGAGTTGGCAGCCAAATAATGTTGGAAATTTACCAAGAAACGCTTTATGGACTAAAACGATTATTAGAAGAGCTATTCACAAATGCAACTTAGCATTGCAAGCCGGGATTTCTATGTTTTATCTAGTTAAATTCACCAAAATACTTCTGTCCCCAATTTCCATATTTGATCTTCAACAATTCGCCGAATTTCTTTTGGCCGCGATTTCCATGTTTACTCTTAAAAATGCACCAAAAATTCTTCTGGTGTTATTTACAATATTTCCGATAAAGATATCGAACTAAGGTTCAAACCGAAACAGTTTCCTTCGAGCTCTCAGTTCGCAGTTCGTGAACCCAACCCTACAGATTATCATCAAATCAGAAAACACACCCTGTTATTTTGGCCAAAATTTGTGCAAATATCTGTGATTCGAATGCACGGCGCTGAGCAATACAAAAGACAGCCTGAAATTGCAAAGCTAAGCATAATAGAAACTACAATATGAGAGGCAGAGGAAAAACAACCCCCAAACAAAAACTAAATATAGCTTGCAAGACGCTCAAATGAAGTGGAAAATTTGTTGGCAAAACACAAGCAACAAGGGGATAGGGTATCCAACGCGGCGGGGTGGGGCACAAACGGATATTGTGCAGGTGTCCGAACAAATTGTCTCGTCTGTCCAACTGGCCAACATCTGACGGCGTTGACACCTAATTTGCCATTATTAGTGAGTGTCAATCGCAAACACGTTTGTGGTTTCGATTTTGATTTCGATTTCAGTTTATTTACACATTTTTTTTGAGGCTTTGATTAATGTTGGTTAAAAGAAGCAGAAGGTGTGGACTTCGCACAACTTAAGCAGCTCAAGCGATTTGCATTTGACTTGCAGATGCGCAAAACCCTTTTTTTTTGGGATGAAAAAAGGAAATCGAGGAAGCACAATTGCATTCGGTCTAACGAAGTGCGAATACCCTTACAAGCCTATCCTATCATTGCAATATATTAATATAATTTATTATCAATTGGCTACTGTTTCCGTTTTGTAATATATAAATATCATTCATAATCTATTACCTTTAGTCTAACAAAGAGCTAATACTCCCACAATCCTAACATGGAATTGTGATAAATTAATTAATTAATTATCTTAGATCTGACAAGGAGCTTATAGCCCGTTTTGTGAGATATTTATAAGCTTTTCACACCAAACAAAATTGATGCAGCTTGTATAAGAAGCTAAGCTTGGGTAGTTTAAAATCCCTTTTATATATCATAGCCTGCAGGAGGAATCAATGTGGATTCTTCATAAAGAAAAAGCGAATATGCTTGAAATTCTAACTAATAAAGATCATGTATGGCATCGGCATATTTAGTGACAATATCGTGATACCCTAGCCATAGAGCATCAAGAACATTCCAGCCTTTTGACCATTCGGTCAACTGTGTGTGTGTGTGTGTGGCAAGCAATTTGGTAAAGTGACTTTTGCGGCACATACACTCCATTAGGCCGGAGCCGCAATCAGGCTAAGAGCCGAAGAGCCGTGCCAACAACTCACCTTTCTTCTGCTCTTTCATTTGCTCCAATATGTCGAGCAGTTGGGGTGCATCCGGGTGACCGCTGTGCTTTTCGAGCACATGCAACTGCAGCTCCTCGGCGGTGAAGCCGAGCTCATCGCAGAAGGCGCACTTGTAGCTCTGCGGCGCCTCGCCGTTGACCATCTCCTCGCCGAGGAAGTAGAGCTCAAAGAAATCTTGATTGTAGATGGCCTTCATGGGATGGTAATACTTGTGCTTATCGTTCGGCACATTCTTGCCCTCATCGTAACAATTGCCGCAATAGGTCACCGACTCGCCGCAAACTGTGCACTCGTAACGCCGGCCCAGATTGCCATGGGCCTTGCAGCCCAGACATTTGCTGATCTCTTGCGTGGCAATCGATTCGTTCGAAGACATTGCACTCAAATGGGTTAAAGGGTTTTCGATGGAAGGGTTTATCAAAAAACAGTAGCAAAAATTTAATTACTATAAAAACTCGAGGGGAAAACGGTTTGAAAACTTTGCCGTTTGCTTCTTGCTGGTAGTTTGAAATTATTTCGATTTTTTTTCTATTTTCTATTTTTTTTTTACTATTTTACGTTTACGCTCTTCAAGCTGGGCGAACAATGTTAACAATGAAAAGTAGAGTTGTGCCGCAAAGCTAACGTTATATTTGTGCAGCGCTGCCAACTTGATTTTTTAAGAAAAAAAAATAAATAAATTAAAAGCAACACTTCAATTTGACGATTGTATAAATCCGTTAAATATGAGGTATGACAATCAGAAATCGATTTCGAGAATACCCCTGTACTAAAAATCTCTGCGAATTAGACATTTAACTAAGCACGTTTTTAAGGATAATTATTTCGATTTGTTTAGTCTCTTTGACAATACAAGAGTAATTGTGGAAATAGACAGCTTTGAACAATTATTGAACTGGTTCGCGGAGGATATTTTGAGAAGGAAAAAATAAAAACTCTGAAATGTCAGCATCTAAGGTTCCGAACTATTTTGAACTAGTTCGTAAATGATATTTTGAGAATGGATAAATTTAGACACTAAGCGCCGAAGCTCTGAAATGTCAGCATCTAAGGTTCCGTACCATTTTGAACTAGTTGCAAAATATTTTGAGAAAGGAAAAATAATAGACACGTGAAATTCAGAAACAAAACACGTCAGCTTCTACAGCCCTAAACCTTATTCAACTAGTTCGTAGATATTTTAATAACGGAAAATAATAAACATGAAAATCAAGAAAAATATGTCAGCTTCGAGTGCTCTGAACCACTTTTGAACTGGTTCGTAAAAGTTAACTTGTATAGGAATAAATGATAGACAAGTAAAACTCCGTACACTTAATTAGTTCATACGATATTTTGAGGATATAAACATGTCATCTCTACAGCTCTTATCCATTAAAGAGCTGGTTCATAAATAAGAACTATAACCTTAGACATTTGTTAATTGGCTTTCAGATATTTAAAACAAGCTTTAAATATGCTCAAGTGGAAACCTTGATATAACAAATATTTAATACCACGATCCAAAGCAATTACTAACAAGGCCTTCAGCATTAACTGAAACATGATTCCGACGAGCCAGATCGCACATAGAAATAAAACAAACAGCAACTTTTAAAATTGCAATAACATTGTTATGACAGCTTTATTCTTTGCATTAAGTATATTGTATATAAATCTATATGCCTTCTCTTCCTTCCCTCTATATGGATCTTTAGTAGCCGTAAACCTGATCAATTTCATTGACGAGCATGGCGATGGTCGAGTCGGAGGTCTCTGAGCCAGAATTATCGTCGTAATCGTCTTCATCCTCATCCTCCACATCCTCGGCATCGACCTCACCCTCGCCAGTTTCCTCCTCGTGCTCCTCCTCAGCATCACATTCGGATAGCTCGTCGACCACGTTGACAGTGACAACTTTGGGTCCGTTCTCGGCTTTGTTTGCCGGCCCAACGATCGTTACCTCATCCTCCTCGTCCCGCTCATCGGTGTCCGGATCCATGTCGGAGTCGACGCTGACAACAGGATCGTGTGTCGCCTGCAAAATCATGTCCGGTATTGCCGCAATCTTTGTGTTCTTCTCCAGCTTTTTAATCGAAAACTCGGCCAGCCATTTATTATAAAGATCGAGATTCTTGTAGAAGCGTTCCATAATGCCGGCCGGAGAATTGGCGCTGCAGCTGGGCTCGTCCAAAGGATCCTTTTTGGACTTGGGCTTGCGTGGGGCATTTGTCAATTTGGGAATTGCAGCTGGCTGCAGTGCGACCGGCTTAAGCTGCTCATCGGCCAGCATGGAGCAGAGCAGGGCCTCGATGAAGAGCACACGATGCGACTCCGGTGGCAACAGATGTTGGTGCTTACGTTGTGCCTTCTCCAGGGGCACAAACTTAAGGCACAGAAATTTGTGCAAATCCGATTTGTCAGCGCCTGCCTTGTCCTTGCCTTGCTTGCTCTTGCTTTTGTCCTTGTCCCTATCCTTGCCTTTATCCTTCTCCTGGTAACGTGCCTCGCCTGGCGCCTCGCGCAATATATCCGCATAGCTGGTCAACAGACGTTCGGCTCGATGCTGCTGATGCTGCTGCTCCAACAGCGTTGAGGAGTGGGCCAAATACGAGACCCAATCATCCTCGGCGGCCCGCCTGGGCAATTGATTATTCGGTTTGGGAAACAAACTGCTCAGACGCACAGCTGGCGGTATGCTGCGAATGCGACTCACTTTCGGACTACGCATGCCTCGGCCGTCCAGCACGCCCACATCGGGCCGCGCAGGCGGCGGCACCGGCTGTTGCCCCTGCTGCGAATGATGTGCCTGCTGCTGCTGTTGGGGCTGCTCCTGGGGCCGCATCAACACGTTCATGCAGTGGCTAGAGTAATATCTTGGATTGGTATTGCTCCATCGCAGCTCCTCCAGCACATTGAGCGCCTGCTGCTCCAAGAGGGCAGCACGACGCGCCTGGGTCATGCGCACCGCCTCCCGAAAACTGACAGCCGGATCCAGCACAGCGCGCTGCTGGGAGACCACCGGCAGCACAGGACGCGGCAGACTGGGCACATGTCTCAGGAAGGCAGACGCCGATGCAATGGCTGAACGCGAAATGGTGCCCGAACCCGACACCGAACCGGAACCCGAACTGCTGGCAGTCAGACGTCCAGTCGCCGCTGATGCATCGGCAGCATAGCGTGTATAGAGTATGCTAAAGTACTCATCAAAATCCTTGTGACCGCGATGCATATCGGACAAGTGCTTATAGAGCTGCATGCTGGTAAATCCATACAGATCGCAGAGGGCGCACTTATAGCTCTGCGGCACATTCGCTTCCACATAGGACTCGCCGCCAAAATAGAGCTCATATTCGGCGCGTGTATAGTGCGCCTCCATGGGATGGAAATACTTGTGCTCCGGCGCCTCGGGCAATTGCCCAGAATCGTAGCAGCTGCCACAGAGCTGATAGCCAATGCACATCCAGCAGGCATAACGACGTCCGCCAAAGGCCGCCGTCTGACACTTGCAGCACACATAGCCAAAATGACGCTCCGGCGGTTGGGCAGACGATGGGGCCATGGCTAGCAAGACGACAGAAAGCATTCCAGATTCAAAGTGCCTTTAAACAGGGCTCAAAAAAAAGAAGCTAGCACAAGTTGAACGCAAGCAAATCACAAAATACATATATAGGCAAATTATAAATAAATGCACATATTGATATATCTGTCTATGATTTTGTGTACATTGCACTCGTCAAACAATTTGTTTATGCAATTTGAGCAAACAAAGCGAGACTTGCGAGACTTTAGGAAGAATTTTCTGTTATGTGCTTGGCATTCTCCTTTCTTTCTTTTTTTTTTTTGCGCCCCCAGAGAAATTTACAATTTACTCACGTGCAAATATGACTTTAATTTAGTTGAAAGCAACTAAATGAATTCTCTGTATATTATTTATTATTTCCGTTCTTTTTTCTTTTCTCACTGACTTGCAACTTGCCGCAAGCGCTGCCACTCGCAACAGCCAAGCCCAAGAAAGCGCTCGACGCGTTCCACAAATAATCCACACGTTCCACAAGCGCCTTTTCAGCACTGCCAACTGGCTCGAAGACGTGAATCGCACTGTTTAGTTTATTTTGATGAATTTTAAAGTTTCTTTTTGTTCTTTTCACACAATTTAGTTAAATTCACAGTGCACACAAGTCAATGAAAAACTGTAAACTAATGTCTGTCTGCTTTAGTCCTCCCAAGTTAAAGTAAAAGCAAAGCCTACTGTTCACATATTTAGAAAACATATAAATAAGTTCAATTCAATGCTTAATTATCAAATATATCGAAACAGTTGGAATTGAAATTTTGACAAATCAAAATTAAGCCAGAAATAAGAAACGGAAATAAAGGCAATAAGAAATAATCTTAAAAATTGTACTACCTTATAAATAAATTGCATTTTATAACAATAATATATTATATTTATATTAGTTATGTGATATTTTTAATTTAAATAATATTTATTTTTTTTTATTAAAAAAAATTTGCATAGTTGAAAACTTAAGGAGGCAACAAGTTTCAAGTGCCAATTCTCTGACTTTTCTCTGAGTTCATTTAGGCGGAGTTTATAAAGGCGGACAGACAGATGGATTTGGCTAGTTCAACTCGACTGCTGGTGCTAGTCAGGAATATGTATATCTCTATATATAAAACTGTTTGTCCTGACTGACTGACTGACTGACTGACTGACTGACTGATTGACTGACTGAGTGACTGACTGACTGACTGACTGATTGGGGATCAACGCACAGCCCAAACCGTAAGAGATAGGAAGCTGAAATGTTCACTGTAGTTACCTTATGTGATGTAGGTGCACGTTAAGGCGGGGTTTCGGGAAATTCCAACCACAAGTATGGAAAAATCGCGAAAAACGATTGAATGCAACTCCGGTCGGCCTGAAACTCATTGTCAAAAATCTTTGTTCAAATTCGTAGCTAAGCTAACTTTCAAAAGTGTTTGATTTCATAATTCCGCATTTAATAAATATGTAAGCTACACAAAAATTTTCAAAAAAAAAAAAAATTATTTGTTATTTAAACGAAAAAGTAAAAATATCTTCGGTACGGTAAAAAGAAGTTTCAAAATGAGAGACCAGTTCTCGTAGAAACAGACGGACGGAGAGACGGACATAGCTATATCGGTTTTGCTGTTGATATTGATCAAGAATATATACACTTTATGGAGTCGAAGAAGTCTCCTTCTATGATGCTGATCTAGTATAATATATATTAGCCTTTTGTGTCCCATTGTCTCTTTAATCGTTGCGTTTGGACAGATATGTCGGACAGGCAGAAAGACAGACGGACACATCTAGATCGTCTCTGCTATTGATGTTGGACAAAAAGATAGACATATAGAAAATAAAAACTAATATAAAATAAACTTTTCTTATTCTCAATTATTTATAAGCCAAACAATTGCTTACCTTTCTTTTTATAATAGCTTTATAATTTGCTATCATATTAAGTCAGATATTTTGTATTTTCCAATTTTAACTTTTAGCACTTTCACTTTAACGCTCA